GGAGATTCGAGTGGGTCCATTGCGCCCTGCAATACGCAGGCTGCGCATGGTGTGGGTGCAGTGCCCGGCTAGGGCTGCTGTAAAGGTGGCGGAAGCAGGGAGGATCACAGTTGGACTGTGGTTCTCCGCACGGGCGGAGCTGTTGGCGAACAGACCGACCCGCTGCTTCCGCTGCCTCGCACGTGGACACACACAGCGGGGATGCCCGGCCAAATTGGTCAAGACCCCCCGCTGTTTCCAGTGCGGGGAGGAGGGGCACAAGGGGGCAACTTGTGGACGTCCGGCCCACTGCCCCCTTTGTGCCACAGCAGGAAAGAAGGCGGATCACAGGACGGGGTCGGAGAAATGTCCTCCGATCCCCCCTGCGCCTAGAGTTCCTTTAAAAAGGAGCAATTTGATTCCCCCTTCTGGGGGTGGGGTGACCACGCCTGCTGGCTTGGGCCCCGCCTCCTCTGGAGAAGGGGAAACTGTGGTGAGGAGATCTCCCGAGCATGATCCCAGCGGGAACAGCTCTAGGAGAGTCCTGAGGTCGGAGGGGTCGGATGGGTCCGTTGGGCCCTCCCGTACCCCGGCAGAGAAGCGACCAAGGGGGGGTAAGGGGGATGAGGTGAGCCCTCCCCTCCGAAAACCCCCCAAGGTTCGTGCCCTTGATGCTCCGAGGCTGTTACCACCGGGTAAACCGGGGCCAAGGAGCAAAAAGGGAGGGAGTAGATCCTCTATGGGCGGGTCGTCTAGCGACACCCACTAACATGGCTATGTTCGCTTCGTCCCGCCCATATTTGGTGGATAGAGGGGGCTTATGCCTCCGACCCGGTGATGCGTTAGAGGGTGGGGGGAGAACTTAGTTCTCCCCACAAATACTGAGTAGCCGGTAAACCGGCATGCCGGGGGGGATGGCTGGATGTATGCGTTTGCGGTTCCCAGCCTCCCCCCATAACGGCCGCTGACGGCAAATCAACGGGGGTGGGGTTTAGTTGGTAGGCGTCCGGAGGAACTGGTGGTGTAGCAGACCACTCCTCCGGACGAATCCAACACTACCCTCTGGCAGGGATATTCCCATTGCACGCCAGAGGGTGTCTTTGGAAGATTCCCCACCCCCGGGGAGGGGCTTGCCCCTCCCAGAAAACAAAAAAAAAAAAAGGTTAAGGTTAGGTTCCCTCTCGTCGTGCGCCACCTTGTCGTGGTGAGAGGGCTCACCGGGGGAATACCTGAAAGGGTGTTCCCGCGGTGCCAAGAGCGCACAGTTCCCTCGCTGGAGGGAACAAGAGGAGCCCAGCGACTCCTTAGGGACTTGTCCCAATCGCTGGTAGGAGAC